GGGTAGGAACGTAGCTCTCACTTCACCATGACAGACCGGTACAGCGCCCACATCACTGCAGATGCAGCACCAATCCACCTGTCGATCTCCCGCTCCATTCTTCCCTCATTGGTGAACAAGACCCCGAGATACTTAAACTCCTCCACTTGGGGCAGGACCTCCTCCCCGACCCGGAGGAGGCACGCTACCATTTTCCAGCTCAAGACCATGGTCTCAGATTTGGAGGCACTGATCCTCATCCCGGCCGCTTCACACTTGGCTGCAAACCGCTCCAGTGAGAGCTGGAGATCATGATCTGATGAAGCCAACAGGACCACATCATCCGCAAAAAAGCAGAGATGTGATCCCAAGGTCACCAAAACGGATCCCCTCAACACCTCGGCTACACCTAGAAATTCTTTCCAGAAAAGTTATGAACAGAATCGGTGACAAAGGGCAACCTTGGCGGAGTCCATCTCTCACCAGAAACAAGTCCGACTTACTGCCAGCAATGCGGAACAAGCTCTGTCACCGGTCATACAGGGACCTAACAGCCCATATCAACGGGCCTGGTACACTTACAGCTTACATGACATTTTTGAAAAAATGTTTTTGTTTTTAATGATATAAATAACCAATATCATTATGTTGATTGTTTATTTTATCAGTTTTGTATCAGGTAATCAAATATAGTGATTATTCACAGCCAAGACCAAAGTTGTCTTCTGACATCTTAAAACAACTCAAGTCCTAAAAACTTAAAAAAGGTTCATGAAAACGCTGTTTTATAAACCTTACTATTGTAATTCTGTCTACATGACTGTGTAATGCAAAACAGACAAGGTTATTAGTGGCAGYTGCAGCTAGCTGTAGCACATGTGGTGCAGYCAGAAGGAATGGATTGAATTTATTTTCAAAAATCTGATTTTTCATCAGTTGTTTATTTGTTAGGTAACGCAGCAGAAACCTTCTGATCAGTCTGATCTTGATAGCTTTTGAACCTGTTAGCTGTTTATCAWGTGCAGTTCCTAAATCTAATTCCAGCTGTATTGTTTTATGATGTCAATAGATACAAAAGTTCAACCTTATCTCCTTAACTTCACTGTGTTTGAACTTTAAAATGAAGTTCGGTCATGTGAAAACCGAGCCGTAAAGCTGAGGAGAGCACTTAGAAGATCTGAGCTCCTCGTGTGTGTTTTTGTTGTCCTCCTGCAGCCACACACTGTTTTCCCTACGTGAAGAAGCGCATCGCAGTGATGTACCAACACCACACCGACCTGAGCCCCATCGAGGTGGCCGTCGACGAGATGAGCAAGAAAGTTGCCGAAATCAAGCAGCTGTGCTCCTCCAGCGAGGTGGACATGATCCGTCTGCAGCTGAAACTGCAGGGCAGCATCAGTGTCCAGGTGCCTGCTGTGGCTCTGAAGCARCACACAAACCTGACGCTTTTAATAAAACCAGTTTACTGAGGAAAAATKACATTCTCCCTCCCCTCAGGTGAATGCGGGACCGCTCGCATATGCCAGAGCTTTTCTGGATGACACGTGTCCCAAGAAGTATCCAGATAACAAGGTCAAACAGCTGAAAGAGGTCTTCAGGTGAGGTTTGATGGTGTGAATATTATTTTCCTGTTTATATTTTTGTTTGTTTTCAGAATATACTTCAGATTACTTTCAACTATTATATTTCTTTTCATTCATTCATTCATTTTATTTATTATATAAATGGCAATGCATATAGAATACAGTAACATTAACATAAATGGATAACACAATAAAGCTTATTTCCATTGTGGTCCAACACATAATCATCACACAAAATCACTTACATACAAATAACATGAAATACAATAAAAACAATTGATAAAAAACACTAATAATAAATATAATCTTTGGGATAAGAACTGTTTAACTTGACACTTGAACAGGGGCTTGCATGCAGTAACCTGAATATACTCCAGTAACTCGTTCCACAACAATACACCAGTACAATGAAAGGAAGGTTTGCCATAAGACTTAACAGCTGGGACTTGAAATGACTTTTTACTAAACCTTGTTCTAATTGAGTGGCGATTTCTTTCTGGTTCAAACTGTTGAGATGAGTAAGTTTGGAGCTTTATTGTTTACGACGCAATGAAAAAGATTATATTTTAATCTTCTACTTTTATATTCTTATATGTCACTGTACTTAATTTTCTGATATATTATGGATTTATTTTATCGATTTTCCTATTTTAGATTTTAGCTTATGTTCCAATAGTTTCAGCTCTTAGTTACTGTTCTGCTGTATAGGTTTTAGCTACTTTTAGCTTTTATGGGCGGCTGTGGTGGAGTGGTTAGGGGAGTCGTCCTGGAAGGTCACCGGTTCAATCTCCCATCCAGCTGCCTCAGTCGATGTGTCCTTTAGATATAGATTTATTTTATTTAACAGGACAGTGCTTTTTAATAACTGTACATCAGAATTTGCCAAAGGCTAGTTTTCATCTGTAGTCCTGGTGGCCAGTTGTACAGGGGCACCCTAGGAATCCTTGGGCAAGACATTTCACCCACCTTGCCTACTGATGGTGTTCAGAGGGTCCGGCTGTATGAGTTCAGTCCGTTTACCATTTACTGTATGACCAAAGGTTTTAGCTTTATCTGCTATTCTAATAATTTCAGTTTTTAACTACTGATTTGATATTACTTTTTATTTCAGATTTTTAGTTTTAGTTTTGTAGTTCAGGTTTAAGTGACTTTTTCAGATTTCAGCTTTTAGGCTACTGTTTAGCTGGTTATAACTTTTAGCTGCTGCTCTACTGGTTTCTGTTTTTAGTTAATGTTTTTTAATTTATTTTTAATCAGAAAGGCGTGCAACTAAAACATAARCATTTGATGCATTGCACCAGATTTAGCCTTAGGATAATTTACATCTGTAGCCCCTCCAAACAATAATCAAAAGACCATCAATAAATAATTGAGCATCCAACATCAATGAGGGTGGGGGTATTTAACAATTAAAAACATGCCCACCTCACTCACTTTCGCTTTTGCCAACAATTTTTCTGGTTTTAGCTTTTAGCTATTTTACTAATTTTAGCTTTTGTTCTGATTGTTCAAACTTTACCAACTTCTTACTGTGTTTTAAGCGTCTTTAACAAACTTCRGTGAAGTTATTCAGCGTTCAAACTGCATTTTCACAACAAACTGTTTTTTCAGTCCTCATGTACATGGTTTCTGTGTGCAGGCATTTCGTGGAGGCCTGTGGTCAAGGCTTAGGCATCAATGAGCGACTGATCAAAGAGGACCAACAGGAGTACCATGACGAGATGAAGGCGAACTACAGAGACCTGACCAGAGAGCTCTCCATCATCATGCACGAGCACGTGAGTCCAACTCTCTGAGCAGAACAATGTTCCTCCTTGAACCGCACTCTGCTCGGCGAGTGAAGCAGAGGGATGTTTATAATGTTTAACAAAGTGATAAAACACTCTCTGATAACATTCTCTGTCTTTCCTTCGTGCTGACGTGCAGATTTGATGGTAACACAAGAAGCATCAGGTTTTTTTAAAAAACGATGGAGTTGTAAAACTGTTGGTTCAACCAGACAAAAGCCTGCAGGAATTTACAGCATAAAAATAGCCAAAGTCCCAGTTTTATAATAAAAATAACATGAACTCAAAACACCACAGAGAATAGGAAGAATATTTGATTAGATAATAAATGGGTTATATTTACACCACTGAAATAGATAATAAGCCATGTTTCAATGAAGTACGTGTTGATGTCCACGTAAAGATGTGAACTGTTATAGATTGATCTAATTCATAATAAAAATGTTTTTTTTTTCACTAACAGTGAAATAAAACTAAAATTATCCAGTTTCCTACAACATTAAACTCTGAAATACATAATGATTTACTTAATAAAAACGTATAATAAAGTATTCAAAACAAGTATTAAAAGTTTTTCTTATACTTAAAGATTATTTCTGCTGTGGATGCATCAGTTGGTTGGACCAACAATCACTCTTTAGCTTATTTTGTTTGCTTTGTTGACCTTTGTTCTGCATGTTCATACAGAATGTTTGTATGCATGTACAGTATGTTAATGTGTTCTTCTGCATTTATGTGTGAATGAATTTTATGATATTACACGTGAACGGGTGCACGTTAAAAAACTGTACTTTTTTTGCAGAAATGTGTCTTTCTTTTTTATGTTATTTATTTATTTGGCATTCTACCAGTATTTTCATGCATGTGTTGTATCAACCTCTGAATGGTTTGCAAGAGGAAATGCATAAAAATATATACCCAACTGAGCATTTTCAGTTGAAAAAGGTATGAAGTAAAAACATTTAAAGGGTGGTTTTTATTAATGAGCTTTTTTTTYCCCCACATTTGGCCATGTTCTGAAGTTTTCATCAAACGTAAAAGAAAAAAAAACATTATTGACTTAATTTATATGGGGTGCCAAGTGTTATATAATATGTTAAAATGGCACTAACACATTGTCATTATTTAGCTCACTTTCTTAGTGTAAATTCATAGTAAAAATGTTTTCATTCATTGTTATTTAGCTTAATGTTCTCACATGTTGCTAAATCTTACTCAATGTTAAATTTAAATGTTAAAAGTTATGTCTTAATGTATAAATCTAAATTTAAATTTCAATCTTAAATGTTGCAGCTGTAAATGATAAAGCTTACATTTAAGAACTCAGGAATGGAATGCAGCCTTTGTCGTTGGTGCGCGGCTTTTGTTGCGAAGTCATCATCCTGCGACAAAAAGAGCCGCTAACTCTGCTGAAGGTGTTAAATTTAAAATTTAAAATGGGTTCGTTGAAAACAATATGGATGGTACCTGTGCTGTGAAGTGTKYAGTGCAGCTCAGACACRGACTGCAACTGCARGKTTGATGTCTTGYTGGGAAGTGGTAGCAGCTTTACCAGCRTTAGCAACGTTAGCATTGGTTGCTTTTGTCGCAGGGTGATGACATGATAAAAGCTAAGCACCACCAAAGGCTGCATTCCATTCTGAAATGYCTAAATGTAAACATTACAATTTAGCCACAACATTTAAGATTTAACTTTTACAATTACATTTGCACATTTAGATTTGGGAGTTGACATTTACTTATGGCATTTAATATTTAAATCATGTAACATTTTAGTACAAGTTAGCAAAATGTATTATGAGCAAAATAATAAAATATTAGTGG